CCCCCCCCCCCCCCCCCCCCCCCCCCCCCCCCCCCCCCCTCCTACTATATGTGCCATGTCTGACACCGAGCTTGAAAACCATCGCGAATAACAATAAAAAACGCTCACTTTCAATGACCTCCAGTACTGATCTTTATGCAATTTAGAAAAGTCTTTAAGTGCAGCGAGCAACCGTAATAACTCCAATACCACTGCTACTCCATGAACTCTGAAAGTGAAAGCATAGAACTCCTGAACATTCTGCTCCTCCCACAAAACCCCAAAAGGATTACCTTACCCCCATTCGAGAGCCTTTTCCGTTCGCTGGGACGGAGGTTTTTCCATGAAAACGATGACAGGGTTTGTGATGAGCTGGGTCTCGGAGATATGAGCACATAGAGCTGCAGTTGTAACTTCCAATAGACCATTTCGAAGGTCTTCATCCGCGCTACACACTGCAATTCAGCATTGTCAGTTGAAAAGATCATACTACTGCCTGTGTCTACGAAATTACAAACACAAAATCTAACCTTCTGCTAGTCGAAGACCTTCCGTAATACGTCTACATTGGTACACGACTTCTGGTTTAGATGTCTCGACTGAAGTTTTTACAGCTGCATCGATCAAAGACAACACTTCTTCAGCACCAATGACGTTAGTTATATGTTCGCCAGCATCGAGCTTCTCCTATAAGACATGAAAAAGTTGTCAAGGAAATAAACAGTCTGACCATGCCGAACGATAAGTTACGAGTCCTTAAATTGTGAAAATAGGTAATTACCTTCACCAAGAAAGTCAGTAATCGAAGAGCTTTCAAAGAGATTTCAGGTTGGACAGCATTTTCAATGGGGATAGAAACAGTAGCAGCAATAGCGAGTAATGGTGTTGTTAAGCGGGCCTCAGTTGCAAGGCAACCCAGCACGGCCGAGCAAACAGGGGAACAAAGCTGCGGAAGTGAGCAGAATGCCAGCAACACCTCGTACACCTACAATGGGGATATGTACAACGAAAAACTTCACGTTAATACACTTTACTACCTTAAGAGTCTCTTCAAGCCGAGGATCGAGCGTTATAAGCAGCTCTGCAGTTTGTTGGATACATCTATTGAAAAACGGATAATTCATCACATCTTTCCCAGTGGAAGTTATCACTGGGACAGATGATACCTGAAAAGACTTGGTCGCCTAGCTGGATATCGAGCCGGACTCGAAAACGTGACCATGCGCGTGAGCCATGCGCCTCTTGCCACTACATCACCTCCGCGATTGAAGTATGCCCTAGTGGGAAGAAAACCAACCGTTTGGGTTTCCGACACAACTAGCCTCCGGAGCAGATCTGAGGCAACATGACGTGTCATCAAACATTCACTGTCGCCCATTATTAAAACGTTGAATACGCATTGGAATGTTTCGTGGATGTTCTGAGGACAATAGACCTGAAATTTTTGCTGCTTCGGTTGATTCCTGCACAATGGATGGTTGCTGCCGTAATCTTCTCGGCAGTATTAATCAATTGTGCAATGTTACCCGCACTCTGCTCAATCTAGAGAACCTTTTTTCTACCCGTTTTGATAGAAGCAAGAAAACAGCTCCACTTAGAACCCGACGTAAAGGAAGCCATTCTCATATCGCCCGAATCAAATACCCCGAAAAAATAGGGGCACTGATTCACGATTAGAACATACCATATCTCGAACTTTCTCTTCAAGGTATCCAACTAGCACAAGCGATGAAACGACTACAATGCGTGAATCATGCGACAACAATTTGATGACACGCCGCGAGAATGCCTTGTACGATGACTGAAAAGTTTTAGCACTAATGCGAATAGTAACGCATATGGAAGCTGATAAAAAGGTTCCGACGTTCGTCTGTTTCTAGCTTTCAGAACAAACCGATTTCTTGATCCTACAGCACACCGACTTCGATCGTCTAGCAAGATTACACAAAATTGCTATACAATACGGCATCCACTCCATTTCGTCATTTCTAGTGCTAAAAGGTCAAAAAGAGTAGAACATGTAAAAATCGTGTAAAAAGGAAGACCTACATCTCACTCATCAGGAATGATATCAAATCGTTAGTCCATATACCCAGTGATAGACATTTTTCGTAGGTTAAAACCTAGAAAAAGTTAGTTTTTGCAGCATTACATTTAAGTAAAGAAGTGTTTAAATATACGTTGGCTCAGGGTAAAGAAAAATGAAAAGTTGAAAAAAGGAAATTGTGAAGAAAGCGTTCGCTAGAAAGGTAAGCGAAGTAAACAAAAAGTTTGAAATGTAGGAAAAGCTTTGACATCAACTAAAGTTCAACATTACCTGTAGCAACCTGAGTATGTCTATCAAATTTTGTGGTCCCAGTTGCTCTTTCAGTGACATCTTTAGGCATTCAAAAATAGGCCCACATAAATGAAGATCACCACTAAGATGCCTTCTTATTCTGACATTGTAAAGGGCTGAAATGAAAATGGTTTACAAATAAGGTAACATTTCATAAAGAAAAATCAAAATAAAAAAAAGACATTTGGAATCCATCATGTACAGTTACAATCACTATTAGTTATGAAGAAATGTGTATCAATCATCTGCGATGAATGATTACGAGCCGGCCATATCGTGAACAAGAAAAAAAAAGAGAAAAAATCCACCTAAGCTGAAGAGTAGCCGTAGAAGCTTTGACCTTGTAGGAGCACTTGATGTGTTGGCTGCGAGAATATGTGGGCTGTATCCGAGTAACTCGTGAAGAAACTGATTGGAAAGTGATAATCTGCCGATGACTTCTACTCCATCCAGGTGACGAATGAGGGTCTGCAGATAAGTTCGACATGGATATCGAAAAAAGAAACCCATTAAAAAACAATGGAAAAATACTCCTAAACATATGTGAATTCCAGCAAATAGCGCACCTTTAAACACTCTTCGAAGAGAACGGTGTTTTCAATGCTGGAGTCGGCTGCATAACGAGCTGCAGCTGCAACAGCCCGTGACAACGCTCCTTCCATTCCTCCCTCCAGCACGACCTAAAAAAAATTTTTCATCAACGCATTGAATTTTCTGAAAATACGGGCGACAAAGAGATTGATATTGAATTGTAGAAGAATTTAAGTGCACAGCAAAAAGCATGAACACGCAAATCATGAAGATGGAGAATGGAATAGATGAAGAATAATGAGCTCGTCATGATTTTATAATTAACAGATTACAACTTCCAAAAAACATCCCTTTTGTCTTCTTCTACTATGCTACTCCTTCAGCTTCCCCAGTATGCCAAGACCAGTTAGGTGCTTCAAGTTCCAAGCATCGCAAGGGCACTGTTCATGAACATGACTATCCTTACGAAAATCCTGCTTGCTATGAGGTTATACTGGAGCGAAAAAGAGTTGATACTCTCACCTCTGCGAATCCATTTGAGGCAATTAGGTCAATTAGGGATTTAAGGGATGTCTAAGGCAAGCTTATTCGAAACCCTGCAATAGGATATGAAATTAGCTGCCCTTTACCCAACCAAGTATTCAATCGGGAGTATGGCATTAGTACACAAGAAAAGCGGACCCCTCTGCTTAGCCGGACAAATGCTCAAGAACAGGATATCGGCCAAATAAGAACCGGTAAGATTTTTGCAATATTCAGTTTGAAGGCTGAAACCGACGCGCTATTCGAAGCTTCAATAAAAAGAGTAGCGGCCACACTTGAGAGGAAATGCTGTAAATAGTCGAGAATTTACGACTACAGCGGCAGAATAGCCTCCTGTAAGGAAGGCATACAATGCATGAAGAACCTCCGGAAATGACTAAACGAAGCGAGAAAGCGTAATGCACTTGTATAGGCAAACATTCGTCGATACAACGTGACACATCAAACCAACATTTATATTCCATTCGAATGGAAAAGAGCCAATAAAATCGTAACGGAGAATCTTTTTGGGCGTCAGTTCATTGGGAAGCATATTCAAAACGCAAAACATAAAGTTTGTTGTTTATTGACCTATAAATCTTAATACTTATCTAGGAGGAAGCCTGGTTAGTAGAAATAAAGCATCGGGAAAAACGAAAGAATGAGGTGTTCAACTCAGTATAATAGCGAGCGTAAGCGGCTGTTCAAGGTCAGTCGAGGGGCTAAATGACCCGCACAGTCTAGACGCGGATTCCATTCCAAAAATGGGCCACAAGGCTGAAATTCGGATAGATCGAGTTCCTGGACTATTCACAAGCGAATATCACATCAAAAAATATGATTAGATAGTTTTTATTCACTTTCACAAAAGCCGTGCTGTTTACAGCTTGTTTATAGCCGGTAAGACTGAGTTTGAGGGGTTAGGAACTCATATTAATTGGCTATAAGCAAGCTATAAAAAACACGGATTTAGAAGCATAATATCATCCGTGCACTTGAAAAGTACATGCAAAATGTATCAAACAGAATGTCCATTAAAACAATTAAAGTTTTGACTAAAAATTTGACTGAAAAATAATAACTAAACTAGGAAAATTGAGAATTCACATGAAATTCTCGTAATTATTGCCAGAATTGAGTGGACGTTTTTGGGAATACCCCATTCTAAGCAGCGAATCATGCACCCAACCGCAAGTGGGAACTGGTAGAAAGGCAGTCCACGTTCTTTCTTTCAAATATGAATAGGTAGAAGCAACAGAAGGGTGTCCTAGGAAAGAAAAAATGCGCTCGTATCAAAAAAGTTATGGAGAAAAGAAAAAACGTTAGACTTACACCTAACTGAGCATAGAATCCATGAAATGACGGTTAACAAATCATACAGATTAACTATCAACAAATAAAATTGAGCACGGATCCAAATTCCTACCGTAATCCAACTAATGCTTTAAAAAACCTTTGGACGTAAAATTCGTAAATTAACATGTAATAGTTGCACAATAGTTGCAGAAAAAACAGTAGACTAACAGAAATAAAAAACCGCTTTGGCCGGTTTGCCTGTTTCTCATTTCGCATAAAACAGAAGAAAACTACGAAAAAGAGGATTTTGAAAGCTTCGAAAGATTGCGCAAGAAATGAGTAACAGAGAGTTTGGAAAAGTTCCCTGTAAAATGTAAGATGTAGGGAGACCGATTGTTCCTACTGTACAGAATGTTTCTTCCAGTGGTCCACTCTTGGGCGTATGTTCCTCTGTTTGGCGCGGCTAAAGGCTAAATATTGACTGAAGCTAGTCGTAGCTTCTCGGTTGCAGGTGCAAGACAAACATAAGCCGTTGCAAAGCAGAAGGGGTCAAGCTTGGTTTCGTGATTCGCAGCGCCTCGCGCAAAAATTTATGCCCNCCCGAGATGTTTCTATGGCATTTTGTTATGAAGATATGTTACTTATAGTAAAGGTTAAGAAAAAAGTTACCTGAATAAATGAGATCAGGGATAGACACCAACCTGTGAAGGTTTCGTCGGAGTACTCACTATTTTCTAAAACATGCTGCATTTAGGAAAAAAAAGTATTATCACCTTTGTGAAGTACAGGTATGGGGAGCTACTGAAAGTAAAGATTTATTAGCTTCGATGCGTCGTTAGGTATGACGGGAAGGTTCAGCTTTCAAGCACTTCTATACCTGTTATGGGTCATTAGATTTTGTGCCATCGATCGACCGCGCCGCGTGGAAAAGTGCGTCACGTAGCTGCCCGACATCGGATGTCGACGTCAAGCAAAGGTAAGTGTAAATGCAGTCGTTCGATTGATGGCGGGACTTCACCCCTCGTCTGCATCTTATTATCAAGATAGTCTTATAATTACTTTGTTTCAAGCATTCTATCATAGGCACTATATTGTTCTTTTAAACTTTTAAAATCTGAAAGCCATGCTCCTGCAGTCAGGAAGGGGGCGTCACGCTATATTCTCCTCATTCCACCCTCTTACGGAGTGATGGGCGATTGGCTTTTCATTATCAATAGCAATAAATGAATGGTGTTAAAATGTTTTCCCCTTTATTATAGACGAAATTATGTTGGAATTGGGAAAAGTAGGAGGTGCAATAGCAGAAAAAGAACCATACAATGAACAGTAAGCGCGAGACTGATAAGAGAAGGGGCGAAAACAAATATGTAAGCTCGACTCGAACACACAAAAATTATAATGTCTACATCACCGGCAGAAAATTCATGCTGCCGATCGCCAAGGTTGGGCGGGCTAATAACCAGCCGCTGCCGTCCGTTACACGCCACCCGTCGCTGGTCCCTATTGCCTATTGTTCCTCGCCCGTTGGCTATCGCTATTGCCCCTTGCATGTCGTGTGCTAACTATTGTCCGTTTCCCGTTCCCGACGAGCTCTAACCCTTGCCCGGCGCTAGTTGCAGGAGGCCTTGTGGAATGTCCACTGTATGCTGCCTGTACCATATTGCTCCCATGCCACGCGATCCGTATGCAGCCAACGCGGCCACACAGAGGTGGTGTAGTGGCAAGAGGCGCACTTCACACACACTAGTCACGGGTTCGAATTCAAGATCGATATCTGCCCGTGTTAACCAAGCCTTCNACCCCCCCCCCCCCCCCCCCCCCCCCCCCCCCCCCCCCCACCGAGGTCGGTTAATTGGTACCAGACTCGTCTGGGAGGTTAAAAGCTCTGACTTGTGCAACGGTTGGCCACTGCAAGACATTTTATAGGCCACATACGCATCCAACACGCCACCACGATTCTGATTGGAAGTGGAATGCGTGGGCGCATCGCTCAGACGGGATCGATCAACGTCTCAAGACTTTATCCTTTAATAGTTTTGTTACTACTCCGGCATATCACAGGTAGCGGCTGTACCTAGGTACGTTCGATCGCTTAGAACGTCCCGGGTTCCTAGTATTCTGCCTTTCTTCCCGCCATGTCCGCACTGGTTGTATTGGTTAGTTGTCCCGCCGAGCGGCATGCCATTCGCCCCGGCAAATGATACGACTCCGGACCTTCGCTGCGGGAGTCCCTGATATGAACTTTTTTTTTGGTCTGTATTGGTAGGGGTCCCGCCTCGAAAAATTATAAATCTAGTTTCCAAGAAATTCAGCACCTGTTATGATTATGTTATGTTATGTTATGTTATGTAGAACACAATCCGTGGGCGAACCCTATCCGCTGTTTTCTGAAAGCTCTGAAATATTGGGGCTTGACCGAATAGACCATGAAGCTCAGCTGTTTCTAAACCCCGTAATGGTCCCAATGAATCCTTATGAAAACGAGTCGATTAACCTTTTCCTGTAGATTCTACCAACGGGGTCATGTTTATGCGCGGGCTAGCGACATCAAATCGCATAGGGAGTCTCGTTCACACGCAATGAAGTAAGAGGGGTAACTGCGAGCAAATCGAAATGGTGATCATAGTCATGACCGCTATCGTAATCGACATGATGGGAACTAGGCGATCCACATAAGAGGAGAAAAAGCAACAAAGGCGCTACTTATGACCACTTGCTCCAAGGTCATCGCACGTCAAGGGGTTCTAAATGGGACACGCCACATTCATAATCCGAGGTTTTCTATTATTACGCCGTTCCATCGGACAGATGTCCTCCTCCGTAGCGTTGGTTTATACGATAGGAGGTTACGACTATGAATATAATCCATACAGTGCCCCAGGAAACTTTCAAATGACTGTGGCGTGCCGCATACAAAGCGAGCAATATCATAATGATAATCAATCGGTACCAAATTAAAGAGCGAAGCGCTGGACGAGTCTCATTTCTGACGCATTCTGACGCAAAAAAAACACATGTGATCGATTGCCGCACGCGTACTACATGCGTAACGGCAGCACCCATTGCCCGCCGGTAACGACACAGTGTGGGCTATTACGGCTGCCTAGGGCTTTTGTGGGGATTAACACTCGCAAACGTAATGATGATAACTGGCTGAACTATTTCTTTATTCCTTGGCAAGTCCTGACAGTAAGTTGATAGGGCCAAAAACAAGTTCAAGCAATAACAAAACCAACTACAGCTCTTGTATAGATAAATGAAGTTATTGGGTTGTAACATAAGTTCGTAGAGTTTTGCGTTAGAGTTATTTTACAAC